CACAATCCTAAATCTGGCCACATCTCAGGACTGGTGTCACTTGTGCCTGTCCCCAACTCAATGCCAATGCCAATCCCAATCCCATCCCCATCCTGGGATTGGTGTTCCCATCCCAATCCTGTCCCCAATCCCAATCCTGTCCCCATCCTGGGATTGGTGTCCCCATCCCAATCCTGTCTCCATCCCAATCCCATCCCCATCCTGGGATTGGTGTCCCCATCCCAATCCCGTCCCCATCCTGGGATTGGTGTCCCCATCCCAATCCTGTCCCCAATCCCAATCCCGTCCCCATCCTGGGATTAGCGTCACTCCAGGCTATTTTTAGGATCATTCCCTATTTTAAACCGGGGGTTAAATCCCTCGGTGACACCCGGCTCCCGCGGGGGATTAACACGGAACGAAGGATTTGGGATTTACTCCCCCCCTTTTCCTCCCTCACGGAGTCTGGCGGAGCTTTTCCAGCTTGGAGGGGGAAAAATCCCCCCAATTTCCTGGGAACATCCCCAGGGATTCATCCCAAACCTCATTGTGTATTTATATGGGAAAAAATCCCCCCAATTTCCTGGGAACATCCCCAGGGATTCATCCCAAACCTCATCGTGTGTTTATAGGGGAAAAAATCCCTCCAATTCCCCGGGAACAACCCCAGGGATTCATCCCAAATCTCATCATGTGTTTATAGGGGAAAAAATTCCCCAAATTTCCTGGGAACATCCCCAGGGATTCATCCCAAACCTCATCGTGTGTTCATAGGGGAAAAATCCCCCCAGTTTCCTGGGAACATCCCCAGGGATTCATCCTGAACCCCCTTTTCGCTTGTAGGGAAAAATTCCCAGGAAACTGGGAAGGATTCATCCCCACAAGCAGGGGAGGGGGTTTGGGATGAGGGAATTTGGGGGGAATTGTCCCCTCCAAGCCCATGAGGGTGTTTGGGATAAATCCCTGGGGACATTCCCAAGGAATTGGGGGGGGATTTGTCCCCTCCAAACAGGGGACAAAGTTTGGGATGAGTCCCTGGTGTCAGCCAGGAGCTTCCCAATAAAATCCCGGCTGTTCCCACCCAGCTCGGGCAGATGTGGGACAGCTGGAGCCCCATCCTTGTTTTTATGGGATTTTGGGAATTTTGGCTGCAAGCCAAGCTGGAGGCTCCTGCTGGGGGTTGGGATTGGCGGCTCCAGATCCTGGATTTTGGGCTGGGATCAGAGGGGTGGGATCTGATGGAATCAGAGTGTTGGGATGTCGTGATCCTAAGGGTTGGGATCTGATGGGACCAAAGGATGGGATCTGATGGGATCAAGGGTTTGAGATCCTATGGGATCAAAGGATGGGATCTGATGGGATCAAAGGATGGGATCCAATGGGATCAAAGTTTGGGATCCAATGGGATCAAATGATGGGATCTGGTGGGATCAAGGGTTTGGGTTCCAATGGGATCAAAGTTTGGGATCTGAAGGGGTCAAAGGGCTGGGATCCAATGGGATCAAAGGGGTTGGATCTGACAGGCCGTCCATCCCCACAGGGGTTTGGGAAGAGGATTGGGAAGTGGATCTGAGCCCAGGATAGAGAGATCCAGGCCTGGACCCCACCAAAACTGCTCCCAAAATCCCACAAACCCAGCTCCCAAATCCCACAAAACAATTCCCAAAATCCCCAAAACCCACTCCCAAAATCCCCAAAACCCACTCTCAAAATCCCCAAACCCACTCTCAAAATCTCCCAAACCAATTCCCTAAATCCCCCAAACCCACTCCCAAAATCTCCCAAACCAATTCCCGAAGTCCTCAATACCCAGCTCCCAAAATTCCTCAAAATCCCCCCAAAATCCCGCTCCTAAATAATTCCCAACCCTCTCCCAAAGCTGCTTTTTTTGGGGTGACAACCCCTGGATGTTCCTGGTTAATCCCCTATTGATCCCAGCATTATTTGGGAATTTATTCCCATCGGGATTGCTGGCAGGATTTTTCCAGGGAAAAGGCTGCGAGGGAACCCCATTGATCCCATTGCAGAAATTCCAGACGGGATGGGCCCTTCCCATGGGAATTTTTGGGGTGGTTTGAACGGAGATTTGGGGATTTTTCCATCCATGGATTTTAATCACGGTTTTCCCTGGCACAGAACGGCCGGGAATGATTCCGGACACAAAGGGATGGGAAGGAAGGAAGGAGAAAAACCAGGAAAACCAGGATGTCACAAGGTCAGGACACTTTGGTGGCCCTAAGGAGACCCCAATCCCTGATCCCATCTCAGCTCAGAGTCACCAGCCAGGGACATCCCAAAGATTCCATGGGGACACCCCAGTGTCACAATTCCAGGATTTTTGGTGGTCCTGAGGGGACCCCAGTCCATGATCCCACCTTGGCTCGGAGCCACCAGCCAGGGACATCCCAAAAATTCCATGAGGACACCCCAATGTCACAAGTCCAGGACACTTTGGTGGCCCTGAGCAGAGATGGACACTGGGATGGACATTCCCCAATCCTCC